AAACAAGTCCGCCCAGCTTCAACCATCCTTGCTCCAGTGCACAAACTCAAAAAAACACTAAAGGCGGGGGGGGGGAAGAGCACCAACAGACAGCGTAAAAGTCGAAAGGACATGACAGTCAGTCGAGTGGGTCATAACCCACGAAAGAACAGGCCAGGTGACACATCACCAAGGATAGTGTTGTGCTCCCACATCGCATGCCAATGGAACGAAAACCCATTGGGATACACACCGACATCAAAGTGCAAGAAAAACACCACAACGTGACAAGGAAGGGCGCAGCGATGTTGGGGGAAATACAAACGCTTCCACAAGCCAATCTATGGACGAAGACAATAGGATGATCTCAACCCCTGTTTCACTGTCATTGAGATGCGACATAACCCCAAATGGCATGCACAGGGACCAACGTGGGCCGTGACCTTGAGAGCCATAAAGACACCATACGTGTACAAAGAAGGAAGCACCAACAACAATCAGACGCACTGGGGGACCGCCGCCCTACCAGAGAAACCTGACGGGGGAGGTGCCAGAGAGAGGTCTCATCTGGAAGCGAACATTCACACTTTTTGATGTGACCCAAGTAAAGAGGACAGACAAGATCCAGACCTCTCACGGTGCGGGAATTGGAGCCAGAGCTGGCATACAGAATGAAAAGAGATTGAGCTTGCCTTATGCAGTGAGGAAACAGAACTCAGTACGCAAAAATGGGTGTGTTGTGGGGCGCAGAGTATCGGTGTGCGCAAAAGCCAGGCCAAGAAAGTGTTTGAAGAAAAGCATCATCAGCCATCCGGGAGTGTCAGGAATGAAAGCACTGGCATAGGGCTATTAGGGCCAAGCCGACCAAGGATGTAGAAGGAAGCTGTCAGTCTGATAACATGTCAACACGAGCACCGAAATGTTCCGGCAGTGCCCAGCTCCGTTACAGCCCGCTTTTGGGGATTGCCCGATGAGCCCTCGAGTCGTATTCATGTGGATACCTGGCCATTCTGAAGATGTTTTTGTGCCATCTAGCACCTCAAAATGGATGGATGTGTCCAGTCAATTCTGGCCACTTCACCACTACAATTGAGTGCCTGGGCGTACCAGTTCAGTAACCATGGACTGCCTGAATGTGTTTCTAAAGGCACCCTGGTTCATTGACAGCACAGAGTTAAAAGCGTTTTCTAAAAGAAATGGGGGTTTAATCCTCATGTGACCTCGCACCCGCTAAACGAGCTCCAGTAACAGCGGTTACGCAAGAGAGGGTAGCAGACATTTAAAAGGAGAGAAAAAGCAGCACGACAGCCAAAGAGCCAAGTGCTAATTAGTACACGGTGACTCCTTCCAGACTCAACAGGTATGGCACCAGCAGAGCTGCTCCCGGCAGAGAGGAAGCTACGTGGTGTTTGATTCAAATTCATCCAGATCTGGCATGAAGGTCGAAAGAAAACAGGAAAGACAAAAAGAGATCATGAACAAAAAGGAAAAGGGGCGCCGGTTCAAAACAGAGACCAGTGCGACGAGAAACTCAGTCCTGACGCCAAGTATTCCCGGAATCATAGAGTCAGTGACAGGACCAGTGTCATAATAAATTGATGCTGGGTGATGGGAGCAGTAGTCCGGAGAACATGGACGCCAGATTCATCGCTCAACCACCAAAGACCAGAAAAGAGACCATCGAAGACAACAGACTGACTCGACTCAGCTAAGCCGAAAAAGGAGAGACATGGCAGGACGTGAGAAAGTGGTGCCAGTGGGACGAGTTGAAAGCCAGCAGCACAGAAGGCTACACACACACACACACACAATGTTCATATTTAGTCTCCTGATTTTAAATACCCTAGTATGGTTTTGTCACCATTTCCATAGCCCCATCAAAAATATTTTCCACCAGCTGCCACTGTCCAACAGGAACATTGTAACACTGTAACTTAATTTTGCATTAAACCTAACAGGTGACTCACAACAGTATTATCTATTCCCTTCTTAGCTCAGCTGGAAGTCTTTAAGGTAACTGGGTAACTTAGTCTCTCTTTTTGACTGTCTCTTC